AAACCATTTCAGGTGACTACCTCTTGAAGCTCATGGAGAGAATGCCAAGAGTGTGCAAAGCAGTAATCAGAGCAAAGGGTGGCTATTTTGAAGAAACTAGAATATAAAACATGTTTTCAGTTATTTCACCTTTTTTTGTTAAGTACATAACTCCACATGTGTTCATTCATAGTTTTGATGCCTTCAGTGAGAATCTACAATGTAAATAGTCATGAAAATAAAGAAAACGCATTGAATGAGAAGGTGTGTCCAAACTTTTGGCCTGTACTGTATATCCCACTGGGGTTGAGGTGAATAAAAGAACTGTGTTGTGACCTAAATAACATGCTCTTGCTATCTGCAGAAAGTATTAAAGCATGAAATCCCGCATTTTTAATGTACGAAAGCATCCTGTATCATAACTACATGTGTGCCGTTTGTAACAAACCAAACCGCGTGAAAATCAGTTGAAAATTCAGTGAGTTATTCTATTTTACTTGTGCATTTACAGCTCCTTCCTCAATGGAAGTGAATGCACTGTGGAGGTAAAGCGAGACCCATCCAAGATGGCGGCCGGCTAGGATGTTGGCTCCAATATGCAGTGGCAGTCAATGCGGCATCTATGTATATATGTCTATGGCTGAGTCATGAACGAGCTAGAAGACGCGTCACAACAAGCAGAAGACACAAACGTAAGTTTTATTCATTCTTTTTCTTTTCTCTTACTTCTGCGTCTTTCAGGATGTATTCTTTCATGTTGAATTTGTAAGCACATAATGTTAAACTGTAGGAAGAGAGCTAGCTGTATTGTGTATTTTTGAAATGGTAACGTTAGCTTCAGGTTGATGTAACGTTAACTTAGCTTAACGTAATGCTAAGTCAATACATAGAATTCAATTGTAGTAATGAGTTTTTTATATATATATATAAATGTGTTAATCATATAATCGATTCTTAACATAAATTATTTCAGGAAATGGACAAAGTCAAGGAGTACGACAAGCTAAAAAAAGATCTTGAAAATGGTAAGGACTGTTTTATCATGCTAAGGTCGCTTATGCTGATATTTGTAATATTTAACTTGTGCATTTTTGCTGTAGCGTGAGAATTTGAGCGAGAGCAAAACCGTGCTGTTACAGAGCTGTAAAGCCACTTACCGGGGATATTGTCAAATTGCATGTCATTGGAGCCCTGTTTGGCAGTGTTTGATTTCCCGCTCCTGCTGGATTGTTGAGCATGACAACAGGGCTTACTCATCACTAAAAATATTACTCCGCCAAGCAACATTGTATCCATCTCCATGGCAACCATTGTACACAACATTTTTTTTTTTTTTAGAAAAGTTATTTATTACTCATGAAAATAAATCACAAACCACATTGACCTCCTGTAGGGTGTTCCTGTCAGCTGCCCAAGTCACATTTATAGAACAATTAAATCAACATTTTTTTTAGTATATATGTGTGTACAAAGTTGGTGAGACTTTTTTGCAACGTTTGGGCTTTAAATATTCTGGAGTAACTGAAATGTTTGGCTTTCTACATCAGCTCTGTCGGTGACACGGCACTTTAACTTAAAACTTATGCAGACCTCGATAAAACATTAACGTCAGCTCAGAGTTCACTCATCTGGGACTAGAAAATCCTTTCTGTCCGCAAGCACTGTCACTGTCGTGCTCAAATGACGTTCAAGCACACCCTCTCGGGTAATATTGCTTAAATCCCGCCCGCTCTCGGTGCATCCCACAAGTCATGTCTGTCCTCCTGGCGAGAGTGATGTACAGATTGTAAAGCCCCCTGACACAAATGTAGTTTGTAATTTTAGGCTATATAAATAAAATTTGATTTGATTTATGGAATTCTCTACCTCTTGTGATTTCATTTCAAGGGTTGATAACTCAGAAAGGCTTCGACGCTAGTATAAAAAGTCTCCTAGCTGCAGACAAACAAGGTAGGCTTGACTATTAAAAGTTTTGCAAAACAAGTACGACACTGTCACTTCTGATATAATGATCTGGTTACCATTCTGGGAAAACACATTTTGACATTTGACATGACAGATTTATTTTACAGCAGTCTGTGGTAGTATTGGAATTCTACCATCTACCATCACATTTCTACCCTGTTTATGTTGCAGATGACTCTGGGAGACCAAATGCATTTTTAAGTAAGGAACACCAAAATTATATCATGTTTAAGATAACAATGTGATTGTGAAAGTTTGGATCTGTGTTTCTCAATCCTGATCATGGGGACCCACGGCCCTGCATTTTTTTAGATGTTTCCCTCTTCCAGCACACCTGATTCAAATGATCAGCTGAGTCTGATCTCCACTAAATTTGAATCAGATGTGCTGGAAGAGGGAAACATCTCAAACATGCAGGGCAGTGGGTCCCCAGGACCACTTTGCGCGATGGTCAGCTGAAAGGTACATCTATATTACAGGTGCTGCAGAGGCTTTCAGCCAAGCCAAAAAGGCCATAGGGGCTCATGTGAAAAAGAAGCAATTTCCACTCTGCAGGCAAAAGTTGGAGCGTGGAAAATTACTTTCATATCTCTGGACTTGGCAATGGCTGTCGAGTACATCCATGCACAAAGGATCATTCACCAAGATATAAAGCCAGCAAATGTCATGGTAACATATTTGTCATGTCTTTTACTTTTTGTCATTCTCTTTGGTAATTTTCTCAGAATGGTTTTTAAATTCTTTAGTTTTAGTTCAACCTCATCAAGTCATTTGTCCACATCATAAACCAATTGTCAAGTTCAAAATGCTTTCACTTATTCATGCAAGGGATTATGTACAACTGTTTGCTACTCCTAAAATATGAATTGCTTTATCATGTTGATCAAATGTCTTACATTGGCTCTGTTAAAGTCTCACCCAAAACATGTTATTTTCTTGTATAAATCATAACATGCAAGAGATGAACATGTCATCATACAATCTGTCAAGCATACTTTCTATAAATTTCCATTAGCTTGCCTGTTGTGTCCAGAGTAGATTAACTGGGTCAAAAGACTACAGACAACAACAATAAGTTGCCCATATATTTAAGTTTGCTGTTTAGTTGGCAATCATGGCTGGGGGATATCTTTCTGGAGGAATTTGTCTAATCAGTGGGCACTGTGGATGATAGAGGGCTCTAATTATCATGAAAGTAATACGAATCATCCTGTGCAGCCACATGGTTTTAACAATTTACTGTATAAAATCTAATGATATTTTGGATAACCTGAACATGGGAACTTTGTCTTACAGGTTCACCAGCTGTCCAAGAGGGCAGTCTTGACAGACTGGGGCATGGCTAACATAAGGGACACTGTCAGTATCCGCCAAGGCAGTCGTCTATCAACGCAAGCAGTAGGGCCAGCTAGTGGCACTGCTCTTTACATGGCCTCTGAATGCATTCTGCACTTTATGGAAGCCTCTGGACAGACAGACATGTGGTCCCTGGGAGCCACATATCTGGAGGTGTTGATAGGGTCTGCTCCATGGTCAGTCAGTAAGCAGCGGGAGCTGGCAATGCTGCTGACTGCCCAAACCCCACCACATGCCCTTGCTCAGCTCGAGCCGAAGTTTGCTTTTCTTGGTGGCCTTTTAAGTTATGATGCCTCCTCAAGGGCTACCGCATCTGAGGTGGTAACTATCCTGAAATCCATCTTTGATCTTGCAAGCCGATATGGCTACAAGTGGTAGTTGGCCTACAATGTTGTCTTGTCTTGCCCTCATAAAAGTGCATTACCTTGTTGTTTTTTAGGATTTCGTTGTGTGTTTGTTTCAAACATTTACAGTGTAAGCAAAAAAACAGTATGAAATTGTTGGTTGGAAAGTTGTTGTCGTATGTGCATTTAGGTTACATTGTTCAATGTTAAAATGTATTTGTAGTTCTTAACTCATTTTTTTTTAATTCATTCTTAAAAATCAGGAACATTTGTTAAGGCTCACAGGGTGACTGTAACAAGAACCACAGGACATTTAATGAAAAGACTCCCGCTCCCCCTTTTGGGAACAGCGGCATTTTTTCTCAACAATGTCTCAAAATGGCTCCTATAGTACCAACAGTAACTTTAACATAGTTAACAGAATGCAAGGATGCCTTTACATTGTTAAAAGAAGTCCATTGTGGTAGCCTCTCGGGCCGCAGGGGTGGAAGTGGTGTGGAGTTTCAGGGGGCAGCATGAACATGGAAGTTTTCAAAGTTTCTGTCATCTTTTCTTCTGTGTCCATTTCTGTTGGTGATGCAGGGGAGGTAGATTCAAAAACTAATGTAATTTCCCAATTTGCTTAGAAAAATAAAAAAAAAAAAATGTACAAAATTTCCAGCAGCTTCTGTGGCTCCTTCGCGTTTTGAAATGGCGGCTTTGTCAGACACCGTACTGATTCCCCTCCATCCCTTCTCTGTGTAATATTTTGTATATTTCATTTGCTTCCTCAAATGTTGGGGGTGTTGGAGTTTCATTGCTGTTCATGGCAGCGGTGAATTCCCGGACCAGCATGAGGTAAGCAGCAAGACAACCATCTGCTGTGCCTGGAAAGCAACTTTTTAGCAAAATGGTGTGGCATATGTCTCTAAACTCCTGGTTTGCCACTTGTAATGCTTCCTCTCTGTCACTGATGAGTTTTTTTGCATGGTCCAAGAGGTCTGCATCAACTGGGCACAGCATGTCAGCATAGCCTGGAATTGTGGGAGAAAAAGTTGTAACATTTTCCCTCAGAATGATAAAAGGAATCCAGTAATTGCAAAGCTTTTTCCCCAAGTGTGCATATAAAGCAGCTCTTCTATGACCTACAATGCTTTAAGTGAAGATATAAGGTCTTTTCTGCCTGCAGATCTAATTGTAGTTTTATATTTTAAAGTGGTATACGGATGTAGTAACATGAACCTAAAACATCTAACAAACAAACAATTGAATAATTCGCTTTTTTTCTTAAGATGCCAATTTGAAGCAATGGTGTTCTCTTGACATTACCAAATGACATTTTCTCTTCTTCATTTTCTCAAGCTAAGGGAAATGTATGTAATTAACCTGCACTGCAAATGACATACCACGAGGTGGCGAGGTGTAGAGAATGTCAGGTTTCCCAAAAGGACCTGGAGCATGGCGCTGCTTGCAGATGTCGTGTGTATTCCAGAGAGTTTGCTCGGTTTTCAGGTCTTCCTGAAGCAGTGGAAGGTGTGTGTACTGCAAGCAGTTTCTATACACAAATAAATTAATGTTATATTTAAATATATTAGTGGCATGTAATCAATCTGAGCATTATTTTGATGCTGCTACCTAAACTATTACTCAAAGAACTTAGATGTGTATAGGGTTGTCCAGTTCTAGGATGCCAGACTCCATCATGGCCTAAACATGTGATTTTGGAAAAAGACAAATTGTTTGTAATGGCATAAAAACAGTAAGATGTTAATTCTAAATGATCATTGAACTTTAATTTAAAGCATTACAATGTAACCAACTGCTTTGAGAAACGTAACGGTGCAAGTTCATACATAGCATGGATACAAAGCAGGTCATATTTCATAGAGGTTAAGTCCCACAACTGGTCTTCCTCTGTGATTCATGGATGTTCCTAAAAGCAACAGGTGGGGATTCCTGCAAATCAAGTAGCAATTGGAGCACCAGGTCTCCTACACCCAGGGTCTAGGGCAAAACTTAGATTCAACATAAAATGAGCTCTTCATCGTTCTCACAGACAATATCAGCACCACAAATTTCAGAAAACAACAGTTAAACAGTTTTTATTAATCTTCAGAGTAAGTCCCAAAATAACTGTGGGAATTAGATTATTATATTATATCTTATTTAGTTTTTCTACATCTTTGACTGGCCTAAGTGTCTGTGGCCCGTTCCCTGAGGTCAAGAGGGAAAGGAGGACATCCGATGAGATAAAGAGGTGATACAGGGTGAATCAGGGTTGTGCCTAGAAAGGATTTATAGCAGTGGGTAGAATCTTACAAGTCATTGTAAATATCTTAAATAATCATTACTGTTGGATGCAAAACACCAGATGTGAGTATAAGAGTATAAAAGTCAAGGCATTCTAACAGTCTTTAGAGAACACTGCCTGAGTCTTCCCTCCATGCTGCATGAATTCAAGAGATCGGATTCATCACATAGTCTGTAATTCTTCAGAGAATTAGCAACTTAAAACTGAAGTACAGAGAATTACCCTTGCATAACTAACAAACAAAAAATTTTCGCAGAAAAGCAAAGCAAACAAAAGACAGACGGCTTACCTAGATTCAGACTTAGAAACAAGAGAAAAAGCAGGGTTTCAAAGAAAAGAGGGATACTTACTCCTAATACTCACTACTGTTTAACAAAATACTCCTCACAGAACGACTCTGTACACGACTACTTAAACAAGGGTTAGCCCCTTTCCCAACTGTTCTGAAATGTGCTCCAGTCATCAAATTCAGATTGGATGAGTTCATTACTTTGAACATAAAATGTCTTGTTTTTGTATCGTTTTAAAGTGAATATGAAGGTCATGAAAGGACATAAGAAGCATTGGATTTTGGTATTTACACTTTACAAAGCATAAGCACAATTTTTTGAGGAACTTTGTAAAATTTTGAAGGGTATTATTTATGTTCAATTGCAAATTAATTAGCTTTGATACCTCAAATGTTGTCAGCCACTTCTTGATCCATGTCCGCTTTAAAATGCTGTTGAAGCTTTCAGCTGTCTAAACCACACACACCCAAAAAAAGGCATAACTTTTTTGAATGTCATCAGTGCTGGTCTAGAAATATTTGTTTAAAAACTTGCCTGGTTGTGGACAGATGTCCCCATTCTGAAGCACTGCCGTGCCTGGTTTCCCAGCTCTCGCATGTGAAATGCAATCTGCATTTGACCAACAACAAGGTTCTCCTTTCCTTTGTCACTTCGAATCAACAAAGGACAGCCTAAGAAAATAAATTGAAAATCTTTTGTATGTGACTACATCAAAAAACATCTGTTATCAAAATGTAACCTTTTTCTCCCTATTTAATAGGAATTCCAACCAATTACAAATAATGCAGTGCATACCACCCTGTTCCTGAACAGCATCATAGAAGTATCTAGCCACAACTCTCTGCTTGCGGTTTGAGGTGCCCACCTTCAGCCAAACAACCTTTCTTGAAAATCTGAATCACCAGAAGGAGAAGGTGCACAGTCCACACAAATATATGACTGAATCATTCTGGTTGCACATATGTAGTTATATCCTTACTTCAACAGGGAGTCTATATCAAAACACTGTTCTTCATATAACATTAAATTATTGATTAGTTTAACATCATGATATGGTAAAAGCTTTTTAAAGTCTTTTTCATCATACATACCCATCAATCCCCAAATGTATCCACATACTGAAGAACTTAATTTTGTCATTACCTAAATGGGGAAAATGAGTATGTGTTTGCAATGAGTATTACTAGCGTTACCATCTCAGAGGGGAATCTCTTCAGTTAAAAAGATGAAATTAGTACCATCAATGTGCCAGGTGTCATTTGGGCCACGGCTGATATACTTCTTACGGACGATTTTTTTCTTGCCAGGAGATCTTCTCTGAAGACCACTTGCATCCAGCTCCCTCATTATTCTAGCAACATCATCTCTACAATAACAAGTGGTTATGAATTAAACTCTGAACTAAAATGAGACAGTACTTGGTGACATTAACAGCATAGTATAGAAACCAACCTGTAGCAAGGCTGCACTCCTCTGACATCCCGAACCCGTTTTAGCATGGCTCTGATGCCTTGGTCAGGTGACCACAGTCTCATCTCACTCTGGAAATCACAGACATTATGTGGCATATTTCACACTTTTAATTATCATAAGAGCAAACATTGCCTACACAACTAACAAGTGTTATTATTTAAGCAAGTAGCCCGCATTACAGTTGCTGCCTAAAATATATAATAGATTTATTTTATTGTCAGTACCGGTTTTAAATCTTACCTCCACAGCTCTGTGGATTTCAGTGAGAGGTTGCTGGCAGGCTCTCCGCCTCAACCCTAGGAGACAGTTAACAGTTAAGTGTGACAACCATAGGCTTACTCATCATCTACCTCTTGTACTGATCCTTAATAGCTTACCAGGGAAGTTATGGACATTTTGTTTGTTAAAAGTTTAAAACAGAAGATATAGCTGTATTCTGCTAAAACTAAAATATACTCATGCACAGTGAACTTAACAAGTTTGCCATTATTAGTAATTAGTAAGCTTTGCCATTATTCTTTAGGCTATTTCATTTTATGCAATGCTTACCAACACTGTTAACATGAATTAAGCTGCATAATTGATAGCTTCATACAGCTATAGTTGGAATAAATTAATTATTGTGGATAACTTCTTTCTCTCTTGTTCTTCGCTGACATCTTGAATCAATGTCTGAAAAAGATGTACAATAAGCAAAATGTTATTGCTCAACCAGTGCTACATTTTGAAATAAAACGGACTGCATGCCAGTTAGGGGAGAGTTGGGTAAGATGAGCCACTTTTCATATTCAGGATCACTACATCAAGAAAATTATAGTTTTGTTGCTAACTAACATATCATTTTTTGATTACATTGCATCTTCGGAGGAATCCCTCATCTTTCTCTTTGAAAGTAAAGCTTGGCTGACCATAACCAGCATTGCCTGTTTTCGGGAAAATACTTATTGTAATCATAAACATACAGAATCATAATTTAATAATTAGGACACATAACGTTACAGACAAAATACACTCATTAAGTGTATGGGGCAGGTGGCTCAACTTACCCCAAAGCTACCATATTGACTTTATTACTCCCCACAGATAAAATGGTGCACTTTCATACAAGGTATTACTACCTCATGTTGTAACGTTAGCTCATAGATACCACAACTCACGTATAAAACAACATATAACATTATCTACCGCTCTATTGATTGATTTCTCGCCGGCTTTGTTGTAAACAAATGCACATGGCCAGGACGAGGCCAAAAGCGACCGGACTTGCATAGTTCCCCTTTGGTTCACATCAAATAGCTAATGTTCATAGACAGTTTTGAGTCGTGAGAGAAAGAAAAAGAATTAATAAAACTTACATTCATGTCCTGTAGCTGTTTGGAGCGGTTGTTGCGGTCGTTACTGCTGTCTTGTTTTGATGACGTCATTTATTACCGCGATAGATAGATAAATAAATTACTAGTCTGCACCCATAGTGTGCAGACATAAAAATAGTCCGTTGTTATATGAGACTGATTTTTCTGAGGCCGTTTAGTCTGATGACTTTTTTTCTGATGCCGTTTAGTCTGACGACTTTTTTTCTGATCCCATTTAGTCTGATGTCTTTTTTTCTGATGCCTTTTGTTCCGATGACTTTTTTTTCTGAGGCCGTTTAGTCTGACGTCTTTGTTTCTGAGGCCGTTTAGTGTGACGTCTGACAGAGGTTTTCCTGAGACCTTATGTCTTTTCATCTAAGGTCTGACGCTGATGTCCTAAAATGTATGCCGTAGGA